TTTAATTTTTTTTTTCAACGTTTATTTATTTTTGGGACAGAGAGAGAGACAGAGCATGAACGGGGGAGGGGCAGAGAGAGAGGAAGACACAGAATCGGAAACAGGCTCCAGGCTCTGAGCCATCAGCCCAGAGCCCGACGCGGGGCTCGAACCCACGGACCGCGAGATCGCGACCTGGCTGAAGTCGGACGCCCAACCGACCGCGCCACCCAGGCGCCCCTGATTGTTTCTTTTTATTGCTGAGTGTTCCATTGTATGGATATCTTACAAGTTCTTTGTTAACTTGTTGATGGATATTTGAGTTTTTTCAGTATTTAGCTTATACAAATAAAGCAGCTAGGAACATATGTGTACAAGTTTTTGTGTGGACATATGTTTCATTTCTTACGAGTAATGGGGTGGACAGACTGAAGGTGGTCTTCTTATTACCCATGCTCTTGGATAATCCTTTCCCATTGAATGTGGGTGGGATCTGTGACTTGCTTCTAACCAATAAGATACAGCAAAGGTGATGTATGTGATTATGTGTATATAATTATGTTATACAAGATTGTAAACTCATCTTGCTGGAGAGACTCTATCCCCCTTGCTTTGAGAAAGTAAGAGGTGATGTTATGAAGGATCATGTGTCAATGAGCTGAAGGTACCACCTGACCAACAGCCAGCAAGAAGCTGTGGCCTTCACTCTGGCAATGCACAAGAACTAAATACAGTAAAACCTTGGTTTGCTAACATAATTCGTTCCATAATGCTTGTGACCCAAAGCACTTGTATCAAAGCAAATTTCCCCATAAAAAATAATGGAAACATAGATGATTCATTCCACAACTGAAAAATATTCATATAAAAATGATTACGATTCTGGGGGCGCCTGGGTGGCGCAGTCGGTTAAGCGTCCGACTTCAACCAGGTCACGATCTCACGGTCCGTGAGTTCGAGCCCCGCGTCGGGCTCTGGGCTGATGGCTCAGAGCCTGGAGCCTGTTTCCGATTCTGTGTCTCCCTCTCTCTCTGCCCCTCGCCCGTTCATGCTCTGTCTCTCTCTGTCCCAAAAATAAATAAACATTGAAAAAAAAATTAAAAAGAAACAATCAATTGAAACCAATTGAAACAATATGGATGAATCTCAAAGTAATTATACTGAGTGAAAGAAGCCAGGCAAAAGAGAGTACATAACGTATGATTCATTTATATAAAATTTCACAAAATGAAAAATAATCTATATGACAAAACGTAGATCAGTGGTTGCCTGAGAAAAGTGAAGAGGGTTGAAAAAGGATTACCAAGAAGTAATGAGGAAACTTCTGCAGTAATAAATATCCTCACTACCTTGGCTGTGGTAATGGTTCCACAGGTGTATACATATGTCAAAATTCATCAAAGTGTACACTTTAAGGATGTGCAGCTATTGTATCTCAATGAAGCTGATAAGATTATACCTTAATTAAGTGTTTAATATATATCTTTATATTATTTTATTTTTATTCGAGAGAGAGAGAGAGTGAGAGCAGGGGAGAGGGGCAGAGGGAGAGAGAGAGAATCTTAAGCAGGCTCCATGCCCAGCATGGAGTCCAAAGCGGGGCTCAATCCCACAACCCTGGGATTATGACCTGAGCTGAAATCAAAAGTTGGATGCTCAATCGACTGAGCTACCCAGGCGCCCTTAATATATATTTTTAAAACTTAGGATCCACTTTCTACAAAGGCATCACATCACATCAATGCTCCCTGTTAACATTTTAAAAAAATGTATTATTTACCACTGAATAAAACTGATGTCAAGAAAAAAAGACTATCATAATTGCACAAAGTATTGAGGATAGGTTGAGTGAGGTGACACTTAAATGGATCTTTAAGGACAGAAAATATTTTGATGCATAGAGATAGCTAATAAGGGCACTCCCTGCACAGAAAAAATTAACATTTAGGGGCACTCAGTCAGTTGAGCGTCTGACTTTAGCTCAGGTCATGATCTCATTGTTTGTGGCTTTGCATCTGGCTCTGTACGGGTAGTTCAGAGCCTGAAGCCTACTTCGGATTCTGTGTCTCCCTCTCTCTCTGCCCTCCCCTGCTCACGCTCTCTCTCTCTCTCTCTCTCTCTCT